TCTTAAGAACAAAGGAAAAGAAAAAAAGTCTTCATTCCTCCAAACAGGAACAAAACAAGCAACTCTGGCCCATATTGTACACAACACACGAGGGCAGGCCAGAGGGGTCAGTCCTGCCAGAGGGAAATATTAACCAGAAAGGAAAAGCCCCCTCCTACCTCACTGACTGCCTGCCGGGTCACTTTTGTGTCCTCTGCCTGGGCCACAAGCTGAGCTTCAAACAGAGCAATTTGTTCCTGGAGCTCGTAGGCTCTCCTTGTTAACTGGTCTAGGAGAAGGTCCTACGGAGTCAGAGCCAAAATGTTCAGGGTGAGTGATGTACTCTCAGTCTTAACCAACTGTATCCTACAAGAACAAAATCAGCTAGAAAAGGAATTAAATTGGCAACTGGATTAGATTTGATTCCTACTGAAACTTTCCCATTCATACACAAATGACTCAGGACTGCAGCAGGGACAACTTGTAAGAGAATGAAACTTTTGCTGATTGTTTATTATTCCAGTTGCAGCAGTAAATTGATAATGCAGCTCTGAAGCAGCATTCCCTCCTGTCAGCATGGATTACACTGTGCCACTTCTCCAGATGCTGCGAATCTTAATAATGTATATTTGAAAATCCTTTGTTAAAAACCTCCTAAACCCATTGTATTTTAACGGTTTGCATGGAATTCTGCATTGGTAATACCCAGTCTGCATCCTGGAAGGCAGCAGAGGGAGCTCCAGCACCAACCAGCTCTGCTCATTCCCAAAGTTCACTTTCCACTGTGAAATTTGCTGTGACTCACAATAATTCTCGAGACCTGAATACATGGTATTTCTTCACTAAATATCTTCCTGCCCCCACACGCCTTTTGCTTGACTGAAGAGTGATATACTGTCCTAAGGCTTGCCCAACCCTCTGGGCAGTAAGTGCTGCTATCTGGGGGGAAGCAGGGGTTCTTCTCCTTTTTAGAAAAGCCTCTGGTTTTTTGGTTTTTTTTTTATTATTTGGAAAAAACATCCCCATGCATCTTGCATGACTCCATCACTCCAGCCTTCCTTCTGACAAGGCAGCACATCCTCCAAGACTCACCACTAATTGTCACCTGTATTTATTTTTTTCAAAGACAGTTTTACGTGGTACCTGTTTTTTCTTTTCCACCTCAGCCTGGAACTTCTCTGCCTCAGCCTTCTTTGTCGACTGTTTCATCAGTAAAATCTTGTGATGCATGTCCTGGTCCATGTTCTGCATGTAGAAAAGCTGCAAGGCCAGGTTTTCAACCTGGGTCTGCATTGCAGAAACTGGGGAGGGGGAAAGAGGGAAAATAGTTAGAGAAGTTTGTCTGTAGGATACACCTTAAACAGAAATAAAAGGGAAAGAAATACAGAAGCTCCCAAAGCAAAACCTCTCACACACCAGCTACATCAGCCCTCCCCAACATAAGAATTTACATCAGCTTTGGAGCAAAGCTCCACAAGCAAAGCTAAAAATCCTGGTAAGCAATTCCTTGATTCCCAGCACACAGAATTTCAGGAGCACCCGTGAAACTTTTTGGTGAGTGCATTATTCCTGATCAATTTTACTGTATTTTTCAATCCAGCGTTTGCCTAAAATCCAAATTAATTTCTCCACACAGCCCCAGAACTAGGAAACACTGCCAGCACTGCCTCAGCCACCTTTCTTGCGTTCATCATCTGTGTTGTGGCACATGTTCTTGTAAGCATCCCTGAGGGCCCCCAGTTCCTCCTCCAGCTGCTGCCTCGCCGTGGCTGCCCGGGAATGGCGCTCGTGGCTCTTCTGCAGCTCCTCCTGCAGCTGGACCAGCTGCTGCTGGGCTCCATAGAGGACCACCCCGAGCTCTTCTCTCTGCACTTTGCTGTCCTTCGTTGCTGTCCTCTGCAGACACAAGAGGTGACGAGCTGTCCCACGGCAGCTCGGATGGGAGGGGCTGTGGGAGGGCAAAGGAGAGGCCGGGTACCAGCTCATGGAGGTCGAGGTTCACTTGCTCCATCTGCTTAGTGATGTAATTCTTCAGGGCAGCCTGGAATCTTCTCATCAGAGGCTGTGAAGAAGGATGGCATTCAGAAATTTTAACATACTTGTGTAAATAAATTACGAGGAAGCCTCACTGGTACTCCCCCCATTAAATAAAACATCTTATTTCTGCCATAGACACTTATTTTAGCTACACTTACTGTAGCAAATGGAAGGAGTTACATAGTGGGTATTCGTTCATGTCAAAAAGTGACTAGTGAGATTATTTGAAACATGTCAGAAGCTACATCACTCTTGCTGCAAGGACTTCTCTTTCAGGGGCACTGAAGAGCACCAGGTTTGCCCACTACCTTGCTCACTCCTGAACCTGCAGCTCTGGGCTTGGTATGGAGGGAGTGACACAGTCAGGAGTCAATACTTTGGCAGAAGTGATTTGCAAACGTGCAGTTCAGCAAACAGCTGAGCCACTGCTTACAGCTCACCTCCACAGTTCAGACAGGCAAAATCACCAAGTCTGCAAAGAACAACGACAAGATTCGAGGGCTTCTCACGTGTTCTGGATCCAAGACGACCAGTTCTGTTTCTTCTGCTGTTTCCTCGCTACTTCTGCTTATTTCATGGTCCTTGGATCCATGCTGCTGGGATTCCTTTTCCCATCTTCGGTCTCCATGCTCACCAGGGAGTGAAATGGGGTCTCCCATGTTCCCTGGACCCCACCCCCCCAAAAAAAAAAGAAATAGATAAGGAAATAGGATTAGATTTCATTGTATTGTGCCTCCAGTTGGATTAACAATGACCAGGAAGGGAGAAATGCTTGAGAGCTGCTCTCAAGTGCTGCTGTGTTGATACCTGGCTCTGTGCCGGCGTCCGGCTCCGCTGCCGATGCTCCCGAGGGAAGGGAAGAGGCTCCTCTGCCTGGTACTGGCTGCTCCATGTCACCCTGTTCAGGAGGACAACTGTCACTTTCTACATTGTCCTACAAAGTCTCAGGAGATTTTTCCTGAAACATAAAATCCATCACCTGAAACAGCTTTTCCATCTACCTCTGTTTACCCCTAAAAATGTGCTTATTTTTGTCACCTTGAGACATGAGAGATGCAGACAAAGGATCAACAGGAGAGCCTGGCTCTGAAACCAGCACAGAGACACTGGCAAAGCTGTGTCACCTCACACATACACAGCACAGCAACAGAACCTCTCTGGTTCTCTCAGAGCTGTTGTACACACCGTACTCGACCCACGGGCTTCCCTCTGTTCCAATTCTGGCTGGTTTTGTGTTTGCAGCAATAAAACTGCACCAGGAGAATGTGCAGCTGCAAACACTGCTCAGGCATTCTGGGAATCACAGAATCATGGAATGGTTTGGGATAAAAGGGACCTTAAAGCTCATCTCATCCCACCCCTTGCCATGGGCAGGGACACCTTCCACTATCCCAGGTTGCTCCAAGCCCCATCCAACCTGGCCTTGGACACTTCCAGGGATAGGGCAGCCACATTAATAATAAGATTATTTATATAATTATGGCATCCCACTTCTGTCCCACGAGCAGCTCTGTAACCCCACAGACCTCTCTTCGGGGGGAAATGACTCTTCTTGCTCCTCCAGAATAGTCTCTCCCTCTCCATGTCATTCCTATTCTCTGCTTCCATGGCCTGGCTCACAGCACAGGTGGAAAGCAGAACAGCAGATTATCATTTACATTTAATGTTAATGCTATGGTATTTTTTGCCACAGGGCACAGAAGTTTAATTTAGAAGTCTAATCTCATTTGCAAAAACAGTCACGCAGCAAGCACTGAGATAGTAAAGATCCTGACAGAAATCCTCCACACCTCTTACAGCTTCACGAGTTTCTAGTTCACATCTACTTAAAAACAAAAAAAAAAGTCCCTAGGGATTTATTAAAGAAATTCTTCCAGCTTGCACTACGTGTAGTCAAATTATTCTCTTCTTTCTTTCCTTCTTTTCCTTTTTAGAGAGACACTGTTTTATCCCACTTCATCGCTTGCCAAATTCAAGTGTTGGGCAGTTTCAATGGAAGAGGAAAACTTGCCACCAACAAACCTCCAAAAGGAGCCTGAGTATGTGCGTCCATGAAATGTGGATAAATCCATTTTTACAGTGTCTGCAGCAGAAACGTGCAAAGAAGTGAGTGAAAAACACATACTTCAAACGCTGCTGACATGGGACCGTAACTAAATTTACTTTTTAGTGGCTTTTTTGGAACACATTCCTCCGTAAGGAACGCTGGGAATGTTCCAAAGGGATTCAGCTCCATAGCGAGATGTGAGTGGGCTCTGGTTTCATCCCGCTCAGTCCCCGCGGCACCGGGGCCGGGCTGTGCCTGCAACCGGAGAGAGACGGTGAGCACCGGAGCGGGGACCGCCGGCCGCGGGGGCACGGCAGGGACCGGCAGGGACCGGGCGGTGGCGGGGACGGGGGGCACCGGAACGAGAGGTACCGGAACGGGAGGTACCAGAACGGGAGGTACCGGGCTCCGGGCGCGGACAGGACGGACCGGGCGGTACCGGGTCGGCGGTCCCAGCACAGGGGTCCCGGTCGCGGTGCCGGTGCCAGTGCCGGTGCCGGTCGCTATCGCTATCCCTATCCCTGTCCCTAACCCTGTCCCTAACCCTATCCCTAACCCTATCCCTGTCCCTATCCCTGTCCCTATCCCTGTCCCTAACCCTGTCCCTAACCCTGTCCCTAACCCTGTCCCTAACCCTATCCCGGTCCCGACTCACCCGCGGCGGCTCCGCCATGTTCCCGTTACCAAGCGACGCGTCAACACCCGCTCACGTGACCGCCGGGCCGCACCACCGCGGCCCGCGGGGGGGAGGCCTGGGGGGCTCTGGGGCCGCACCATCCCCGGCGCGCGGGGGTCGGGCCGCGCTCGGTGCCCGGTGCCGCCCGCGGGTCCCACTGCCGGCCGGTGCCGGTGCCGGTGCCGGTGCCGGGCAGTGCCGGCCCCGGGCGGTCCCTCCGCGCCCTCCCCGGCCGGGCAGCCCCGGGGCGGGCGGGGCGCTGGGCGGGCGCAGCCCCGCGGAGCCGGCGGGCGGCGGCGGCGGCCCCGCGCAGGGCCGGGACTTCTCCGGGGCTCGTCTGTGCCGGTAAAGCGGGGCCGGGCCGGGGCCGGGGGCGGGGGGAGGGGAGGGGGGCCGGGGACCACTCAGCGCTGCCCCGGGACCCCCCGGGCCCAGCCCCGGGATCCTGCCCGGCACCTGGGCGGTGCATCCCGGTGTTATCCCGCTCTTTGTCCGCCCTTCCCACGCCGCAGCCCCGCGGAGAGCGGCGGGAGCGGGCGGGATGATGCCCCAGGAGGGCTGGGACGATGCCCGAGGAAGGCTGGGATGATGCCCTGGGGACCGGGATGCTTCCCATGGGGGCTGCTGGAAAGCGAAGTAGTTCTTAAACTTTATCTTCTGTTTTTTCCGAGCACATTCCTATGGTTTCCTTCCTTTTAGGGAGCTGGTCTTCTCCCAGGTGACCCCAGTACCTACCTGAGCTCTGTTACCAGCAGAGGAGGTGTTGGGGGGTCCCTGGCAGTGGTTTGATGCGTGGCCTTGGGATGCTCCAGGCAGGGATTGGGAGGTGCTGTATTGCTCACTGTGCTGCTGACACTCCGTAAAATAACTCTGCTGCTTCCTCTGGGAGATCTGTCTCTCTTCTTGGATCTCAGGCTGGGAGCTTGCCTTGCAGAGGTGTTTTGTTCTTAGTTGCCACTCGGAATAGGAAGAAAAATGAAAGATCTTTTAAGAGGAAACAGTAGAAATGTGAAGACCAGGACAAGTCAGAGTAAGGATCTCAGACTTGGCTGCTTCTTTTGTTGAAGGTGCTTTTTTGTAGGAGCTTGTTTATGTCCTGATAATAACTGGGGTAAAAGTCTCTAAAAGCTCTTCTGTGTTGAATTTGGAGAATATCTGTGTTTGTTCGGGCTGTGTGGGTGGTGTGAGGTTGGAGAGCCAGGATGGGGCAGAACAGGGCTGTCTGAGTCCATCAGGAAGGGAGGGAAGGGGCACAGTCTGCCTGTGCCCAGGGAGGGGGGACTGCCAGAGTGTCCGAGTGACAGAGACACGTGGTCTGATTTCTGTTATATTGAGAAAGACTTTTTAGTTCATTTTTCAATGAGTTCATCCATTCAGCTGTGAATCCAGGCTCCTGGGGTTTTTAGTTGCTGGTATTCCGGGCTGAAGTCCTGTGAGCGTTATCAGGCCTTGGCTCCGGGACATTGGAAATAAAAGGCCATAAAAGTGTTACCTGTGGCACGAGCAGTGCAGATAAGGGACATGAAATGCTGGTTAATCTGGGATGGAGGGACACGTGGCACACAGAATGTCTGGGTGCTGCTGCAGGTGAGTTTGGTGCCAGGGTGGGGGGGCGGTGAGGTTTTTGTTTGCTTTTTGTTTGCTTTCTGATGCCTGAGCAGGTGTGGCCGGGAGCAGCTGCAGGCTCCAATAGAGCATTCCCTTTTCCTTTTTATTTCCGAGTCACAAACTTGCAGGATTCAGCTCCCTTTGCTCTGTGCTCAGTGAGCTGCTGCTGCTCTGGCAGGGCAGCAATGAAGGACTTTTTGGTGACCTACATAATTCTCCCCATGAGATGGGATGACTTCAGAGTGGCTCCCTACAGTAAATGTTTTTCCTTGATTTGGCTGGGTCCTCTTAACTGGCTCCAGTGAACAGCAAGGAGTTTGGAAAGCTTTTTTCTTTTTTATTCCCTAATGTTCATGTATTGCAATACAGCGGGAAGGTCGTACAAGGGCTCTCATGTATCCATGAAGGAATAGAGATCAAGTGGGTGACCAGCTGAGAGTGGCACAGAAAATCTACTCCAAGGACTGGAAGGAAGCTGCGAGTCCCAGCTCTGGGCTGCCGTACTCTGTCTCCAGTCACTTGCTCTGTAACCTCTGCTTGAGAGTTCCAAACCCAGCCTTTGCTTTTCCCAGGAGGGTAAAGAGACAGGAACTTGTGCAGTGTCTGAGCCCCCTCACTGCAGTGACTCTGCACTCCTTAAATATGTAAAGTTAAATTTAAGTTATTAGGGCAAAACAGAAAAAGAGCCTGTTGCTCTTTCCTTACCAAAGGCATTTCATGCTTGACTGTGGTGCTGCTGTTTGACAGCTCGTGTTTCTCTGCTGTGCCCAGACACGCTGCAAGTCTCATGTTTCACTTCCAGAGCCCTCTAGCTCGGCTTATGTTGCTTGTAAAGCTCTTAAAGTCTTGCACAGCAAATGTGCCCTGGGAGCCACGAGCCCGGTGCCTGCACGGAGGGCTCGACAGTGGGACCTGTGGGCTGCAGGAGCGTTTGGACACCCCTCCAGGCTCATCTGGGAGAGGAGCCTCGGTGCTGTGTGCTCCTGGTGCTGCGCGGGGCGGGAGCGCCGAGCTGGAGGGTGTCAGCCCGTGCCAGAGCCCGGCACTGCCCTCCCGTGACAGGATACAGGAATCTTGTGCAACCGGAGGCAGCAGCATTTGGTCCAGCGGCCTGTGCCAAGGTGAGGTGTGATCTGCCAAGGCAAACAGGATTCTGTTGATGCCTGTGAGGACGGGAAGGGCATCTCTGCGGGAGGCGAGCAGCCGGTGCCCTTCTGGATGCTGCTGGCTGGAACTGGTCGGGCTCTTGGGAAGAGGCTCCCATGGGGATTTCAGGAGTTGGCTCCCCATCACTTTTTCACTCATGTAGCTGAGAAGTGCTGGCACTGCCTGGGAGAGCAGCCAGGGCTGTGTGAACAGACTCAGAAGCTGCAGCGAAGATTTTTAGTGGCAACAGTTGATGTGTGGGAGAAGAAAATGTGTGTGTGCTTAATAAATATTGGCATTCAGCAAGAGCTTATCAGCTAACTCAGTGCTTCAGCTTCTGGAGAGCTGAGCTGGCTCTGCCACACTGAGAAGAATCCCTTCAGATCAGCAGATAAATACAAAATTCATGTGAAAAATGAGGTTTTTCTGAACGATGCTGATTTACTGCTGCCTGAGCTGTGGGACAGTTCCTGCTGCCTTCCCAAGCTCACATAGGAGGCAGCAGCAGTACCTGCCTCTCCCCACGTGCCAGGCTCCACAGGCTGTGTGTGCAGACATTGTCCCACACAGAAAGGGACTGAAAGTAGAGCAAACCCTGCAGGTTCAGTGTCTTTGTCATTTGCTGGTTTGTGTTGTATGAACTCCTGTCTTTTAGGAAGGAGAAGCACATTCCCAGGCTGAGTTTCAGAGACTTTTGGGGTTGTACCAGTAGACCAGATGGCCTTCAGAGGTCCAGTCCATCATCTGGTCCTCACTGGGACTGACTGTGTATCTATTTCTGCAGCCTTTGAGACCCCAGTGATGGAAATGGCCCCTTGAGGTTGCCCTGTTCTGGTGCACCATTGTCCCTGCTACTAGAATGACAAAACTAGATATTCCTTGCCACAGTTCAACTGCCTTTCAACTTCTCCTGACCTCCATTGACAGTTCTCCCTTTCTTTGGCAGTGACAGTTCCCACGTGTGAAGACTTCTAATACATTTCCCTCACTTCAGTCTTCCCTTGGCAATCTCTTTCCATGGCCCAGATCACTCTTGTCACCCTCCCTGAAACTGTCCAGTGACTTAAATCTGTTTTCTTTAATCCTGCAACCAAAACTACACAGAATTCCCTGGCCTGCAGCAATGGTGAAAGGACTGATTGAGTTTGCTGGTGATATTTATGTATCCCAGTGGTTTTGGTTGCCGTCTGCAGCACTGCAGTGGTCTCTGGTTTCTGATATGTAGCTCTTCTGCAAGACAAGTCCAACAGACTAAATTTCTGAGCTGGCACTGTATTCCTCACCTTTTGTCCTTTTTTTTGGTTTCCCCCTCCCAGCCCACTGTGCCTGTGTGTACCTGCAGCGCCGTCCACCTGCACATCCAGGCAGTGCTGAGGCAACAGGTGTTCTGCAGGATCAAAGCAATGTTTCCCTTTAAATTCCTCCTGCTTTCCAGGGAGCAGCTTTTGATCTTTACGTGTTCCTTTGTTCTTCCTGTGCCAGGTAAAAGCTCATTAAAAGGTGCCTCTGTTGGCAGAGACGTCCTGCGGCTCCGCCTGCCTTCCTGCAGGACATCACATGGGCTCGTTTCAATGTGCTTCTCCATCTCCTGGCCTTGGTGGGAAAAGCTCCCTCGTGTTTCCTGAGGAAGCATTCCCTGGCCAGCAGCAGCAGCCAGCTGGTGCCACCTTCCTTCTGTGTGTGCACAGCTTTTTAGGGTTCTGACGAAATCCCTGACAGAGCTGAAGGTCTGGACAGCAGGGCTGGTTTCAGTCTCGACAGCACCAGGCAGAGCTGGTCACTCTGTGCTGCCTACCAAGTGTTGTGGTGACAGGTGCCCCTGCTCAGGTGTGCTGGAAGCTCAGGTTGCTCCACATCACTGCTCCAGCCCCCCCGACACTGGGTGGAAACAGCCTGTTGTAACTCGCTGTGGGAAGGAGCTGTTGCAGCAGAATTTACTGTCTGTTCTTGCAGGGTGCAATGAGAGGAAAGGCGATTTGTTCTTTAAATGTGGTTGAGCAAATGACTTTTTCCCTGGTGTAACCCAGCCTGAAGCTGTGGGGTTTGGCAATGTGGACGAGAACAAGCACAGAGCTCCACTGTGTTTGGTTTTTGGGGCTGAGACATGAGGATGCATGTTGTGTTTGGTGCTGGAAGGAGACAGGAGTGCGCAGGACTTGCAAAGTAATCCTCTCATCCTGAACACTTGCTGGTACAGAGCAGGGTTGAGGCTTCTCCATCAAGCCCCAGCAAAGACTGAAACGCAGAAAGCGCCTGTGCTGTGATTCAAGCTGACAAATGTGGTGATTGCCAGTTAAACCAAGAGTTTGTCCTTTAACGAAGGCTCTGTCAGCAGCTTGGCAGTCTCGTTTGCAGTCTTCTGTACGTACCAATCTGTCAGAACCAGGACAGCTATTTCCCTTCCCTTCAGCCCCCACTCTGCTCTTGGAGAAATGCCAGTTCTGTTTGCCCTTTGTGCCTTCTCCCCACCTTGGCTGGCTGGAGATATCATCAAAACCAGGTTAAGGAAATCGGAGCTGTTCTGTGTCTCATGGTGCTTGCTTTGGGCCCTTAAATATTTCCTGAGAAGATGCCCCTGATAGCACAGGTCAGGACCTGCCTGTTTTATCTTTCTCTCTGCTCTCCATGGCCGTGCAGCCCGTGGTGTGGGACTGGCCCCAAGGAACACCCGGGCTGATCTCCCCACGGGCTGCCCTGGCCCTGGAGCGTGGCCGTGTGCGGGGTGTGCTAGGTCAGACTGGCCTGTTCACAGCAAGGTGGGCCATGTAAACACAAAAGAACAAAAGCAGGTGTTTCCTCTCCTTTTGGCAGAACAGAAACTGCCCTGGCTCTGGTGCTTCCCAGCTGGGGATGGCAGCAGGAGCCTTCTCTGCACCCAAGCGTGTCGGGCTGTCTGTGGGATTGCTTTGTGTGAGACCCACCTGCTCTTCCAATACATCAAGTCTTCCTGGTCCATCTGCTAAATAGTTTATAGCTTGGGTGACCCCTGTGGGTCCACTGCAGAGCTCCTCACCAACAGCCCCGATGAGGAGCACACCTCACTCGAGCACAGGGGTAGCTCGGTGATGAGCTGGGGACCACGTTCCACAGTTGGGTAAAGCTATTGATAGGTGGAATGTTTGCCTTGAGTTGGTGTGCCACACTCTGCTTCTGGGCTCTGCCCACTCTGTTGAACAGGGGGCTCTTGCACACTTACCTCTGACAAGGCTCTATTTAACCATCACTGCTCAAAAAAACCCCCCAAAGCAAACCCAGAAAACAACCTCACAGAAAAAAATTCCCAGCCCCCAAACTCCAAACCCACACGGGATGAAGTGAGTTTGCTCGATGTTTTTTTGGAGATGGGAGGTTGCTGTGGCTGGAGCAGCAGCCTCGTGTTTAGTGCCATGGTCTCGGCCATTTCTGTGCTGAAGGAGCCCTCTGGGATCAGCTGTGACTCCGTGACATCCCAGGGTCAGTGACACCTTGGGCAGCTCCACACCACTGAGCTGTTCCCTCACTGGGTGATTTCAGTGACCAGCATTGCTTTTCTGCCTCCTCCCCACAGTAGCTGTTAACATGTGGGGTTTTGCTGCCTTGATATTTCTTCATTGCAGAGAAACACATTCCAGGATTCTGTCCTTCAGCTTCTCTAAAGCATGGAGGTGATGTTACAGACCCAGAGCATTCAGAGGCTCTTGCTTGGATTGTGGATTGGTGCAGCATTGATGGGAGACTCATCCTCAGACAGTGGGTGGCACGTGCTGTTGTTAAATCAGTTCTAACACTATTTTTTCCCCCTTGTTTGCAGATCTTCTGGATTTGGCTGCTGACTCGAGCTGACAGATAATGGAAACATTTCCTTGGCGATGTCTCTGGGGCGACTCCTCCGACGTGCCTCCTCCAAAGCCTCCGACCTCCTGACCCTGAATCCCGGTGGCGGTGGCAGCTCATCTTCTGTGCTGGATGGAGAGATTATCTACTCCAAGAACAATGTCTGTGTCCACCCACCTGAGCTGCTGCAAGGCGTCGGGGAGCACCATCCAGGTGATGGGGTGTTGCAGACACTGCTCACTCTCTTCTTCTCTCTCCTGGCGGGTGTTTCTATCAAATTCTATATCTTGGGCTCCTATGAATGAAGAGGTGCCAGTGAGGGCCAGGGCAAGGCAGTCTTGTGGAGGACTAAGGAAAGCCACCCACAAGCTGATCCATCAGCTGATCCATCTTCTTTTAGTAGGAAAATTGATTCTTCCTTTCTGTTCTGGTCCAGCATGGATTTACCTGGTTTAGTAAGTCCTTTTGTACTGCTGGAAGATGGACAGTTGTCATTTGAGGACAATAACTTCTGTTGCTCATTCCAGTCTGGATTGTTCAGAAAATCCAAGTATCCTCTTGTAGCTGTCATTGCTGGAGTGGCCTCAGCAACCACTGGTAAAGGAAAGGGCAAGAAAACCTGATTGTGGCCACATGCACTGGAGTAAATGAAGATAAATCCTGCTCTGTTCCTTTATTCTCATCTGTTCCTGCACTCTTTCATGTTCTCATCAAAGAGCTGTGGCTCCTGGCTCAGCTTCACAAAACAAATTACTCTGTGAACATTGACCCTTGCTTCCCTTTATGTGTAGGTGACTTCTTTTTTCATTGGCTTTCCATGAAAATTGTAGCCCTTTTGTCACACTAAGGTAAATATTCTTGAGAAATCAATGTTCAGCTGGCACTTGAAATTGTTTAACTAAGAAACAGTAGAAGTTTTACATGTGGCAACATATTTCACAATTGACTCTTGATTAGTAATCTATCCAGGAAGTCCAAGTATTTGTATGGCACTTCTCTGTCCACTTAGGCCAGAGGGAATTTAGACACTTCAAAAGCCATATGCAGACTTGAAATGATTTGCAAATAGTGAATAATATTGAGCACTCCACAATTTTCTCCTGGTAAATTATAAGGGTTTGTTTTGCCCATGTGTAAGTGATGGTGAAGTGGGGGGAATCTCAGGATGGCTTGGGTTGGAAGGGACCTCAAAGGTCATCTCATTCCACTCCCCTGCCATGGGAAGGGACACCTTCCACTAGACCAGGTTGCTCAGAGCTCCATCCAACCTGGCCTTGGACATTTCCAGGGATGGGGAGACGGGGAAAGGGAAATGTCAGGGTTGTGCAGTTCCCTTAGAACAAATCCGCGTCACAACCGGTTGCTCCTGTGCTCTCTCTCAGGCTATCTGTGCTTGTACATGGAGAAGGACGAGCTCCTGGGGACCACGCTGATCCTGGCCTGGGTGCCCAACTCCCGCATCCAGAGGCAGGATGAGGAAGCCCTGCGCTACATCACCCCCGAGAGCTCCCCCGTGCGCAAAGCCCCGCGGAAACGCGGCCGCCACGCTCAGGGCCTGGGCCTCGCCTCGCCCCCGGAGCACAGGGGGGCCCTGACCCTCAGGGCAGACGAGCTCCTGGTGTCCCAGCCCGGCAGAGATGGGCCCTACACCAGCCCCCCCTGCTCGGAGGGGGAGAGGCTGTCGCAGGGCTGCGCCCGCCGGTCCCCACAGCCCCCCCGCAGCGACTCAGGGATCCTGTGCACGCTCAGCTCCCAGGAGGAGCACAACAGGTCGGAGCTGTCGGCGGAGGGCGCGGAGGAAGGGCTGGACTGCCGCGAGGACGAGGGCTCCTTGGAGCTGCCTGCTGATGACGTGAGCAGGGACAGTACTTTTGACTCTGATTCTGATGCCTTCTCCTCCCCCTTCTGCCTCTCTCCCATCAGTGAAGCCCTTGGGAAAAGCAGCAGTTCCGTGTTTCTGGACAGTGAAAGCAGGTGAGTGCGTCCTTTCTCTAGTTTCTGCGTGCACAGCTGGGTGCTGAGCTTGGAGATGCTGAAGGAGATGGTGAAACTTCACAGTGGCATCAAGCAGAATGTCTTGCTTCAGACTCCTGTGGAATTTACAGGAAACTGTTTGCCTGCCAGTTCTGCTTTTGCTCAGTGAACCCTGGCCCCAGACATCCAGGGCTGTCTGTGTACAGCCTTTGAGATGAAGTGTCTTGGGCTCTGGAAGCAGCATTGCTAAATTAAACAGGTCCTTTGTTGGCCTAACTGGCTCTGCTGAGGAGCTGAGCTTGTTGCTTCTCGTGCAGAGCTACATCAAAGAGCCCGTGTGACTTCCTGAGCTGGGGGCACCTCTCCAGGCCCCTTCTTGACACGAAACCTGCATGTGGCAGCTTGTTTTGCTGCTGTTCAGAACATGGTCCCGCTTCAGACATATAAATATTAATTCTTGCGTATCTAACCTGGGTGTTTTCATCAGTGCTCCTCAATGGCACCTGCAGTAAACTGCACGAGGTAAGAGGGCACCTTGGCAGAGGACTAACACGCAGGAGGACACCTGTGTAACTCACTGCTTTCATACCCAGTGGTTCTGGCTTTCTGATCTGTGCCCTGTTGGTGTATCACTCGTCTCCATCTCGGGGAGGGCAGGTGTGTTCCTGAAGCACTGTGGGGCTGAGTTTTAGGCTACAGCTCAATTTTGAAACTACGCCTGAAGTGAGAAAGGAGTTCTCCTTTGTGCACGTGAGCAAGGCACAGACTGCACTGAGACCTGCCAGTTGAAGCAATTTGGCCTCTTTATTTTACGGGCTCTCAAGCCCAGAGAGTGCCAGTAAGAGCAAGGTTTGTGAGGAAATATTCTAATGCATTCAACTCTCTCTGGATATTTTAAAACCCCTCAGTATGGTGATGTCAGACTTTGTATCAGCTTTGCATTTGAGATGTGCCCCAGCAGGATGGTGCTGATTAACTGTGACCCAGGGGCTTTGCTGGGCTTGAGCTCTGCAGCACCTGGGCAGTGGGTTGAGTGGTGGCTGTCCCATCCCATCCCATCCCATCCCACTGCAGCCTCTCCTCTGGCTCCAGAGGGGCTGTGGGGTGCCCAGGATGGGCCTTTGATTTCCATACTGTGTGAACAACGTCACTTTGACAGCGTCTCTTTTAGCTCTCCAAATATGATTCCTGCCAGTCTTTTGTGGCAAGTAGTATAGAGGACTTTGGAAGCTACATAAATTTCATGAAACACACCTTGGAAAAAAATCTATAAAGGCCTTTGAATGATTGTCATTCCTAATTGACTCTAATTATTAGTTTCTAACTTTTATGTCCCATTCAGGCTGTGTTCTGGCACTGGGCTGATGCTTGAGGATGACACTTGATTTGTCTGTGCTTTCAGAGAAGGTTGTTAGTTTAGAAATTTCTTGGCCTTGACTTAAAAAACAGAAACCCCCCAAATCCACTGCAACCAAAGCCTCTGTTAAGTCTGTTTAAGGTGTACGAGATGATTCTTTTCCTTGAAGCAGCACTGACAACCTGTATGTTTGACCTGTCTCAGTCACTCTGAAAAAAGTGAAGTTTGGGGGATTTTTAAGCTTTTTTTTTTTTGTAAATAAAATATAATGAAAATGCTTCTGGGAACATTTTTGAGTTCCAACAGTAAGATTCTTATAGGAAAAATGTTCCTGTCTTTCAGTGTGTATTTGTGGAAGCTGTGGCCTCAGCTGTGGCCCAGTTGCAGGGTTCTTCTCCCACTGTGGTGGTTGGAAGTGGGAGGAGCGAGGGACACGCTCAGAATAATGTCCTGGCTGCTGAAAACCAGGAGACTGAGCTCATCCTGGGGAAATCCCAGTCCTGGCCTGAGCCACAGCTGTCCCAGGCATGCTGTGGTCTCGGAGAGCTTTGGCACCAGGAGCAGAGCTGGCACAGGAGGGTCCCAGACAGTGTCTGGGGCCCGGCCAGTGGGTGAGGAGTGTTGTGGTTTAAGTGTTCTGCAACACTTACACTCTGAGCTGCAAATAGTGTCGGGAAAGGAAGGAAATACAGTTTATTGCATCTTCCCTGCCTTGTCTGTGCATTCCTGCAGCATTTCCCTGCCCTCTGCTGGCTTTCCTCGCTGCTGCTGGAGCCCCGACAGCTCCAGCCAGGCAGAGCTGGCTCTGCACACCAAGCTCAGGGGCCTGCTTGGCTTTGATTTTTTTCTTCTTTTTTTTTTAACTCCTGTGGTGCCAGCCTGAAGTCTCACACAGTGCATGTGACACCCATAATTGACAGCAGATTAATAAAACAGACCTTTTGTTGTTTGGGACTTCAAACTTGAAAGGTTTTTTGTCCAGCGTGTGCATTTTTTATGCCAATTTGTTCTTCCCCATAGAGCCCCCTTGCATGGGATCTGCAGGATCTTACAATCTGTTGAGCTGGAGATTCTGCACAGAATACTTTGCAAAAGTCTTGTCAAAAAGCATCTCTTATTTCCTGCGTTCATCCCAGCATTTTGGGGGTGAGAGATGCTCTTTTAGAAGTCACTGCAAGCATGGGAACAGCTTCCTTGCTTCTTAAGGGTTTGTTTTGGTTTAGGTTTTTTTTCTGCTGGCTGCTTCCCCTCTGAGCCAGAGTTGGAGTGGGAACAAAGCTTGTGCTGCTGGCAGATTGTTCCAGCTCTCTTCCCTCCCCACCTCCCGGTCCCCACCTCCTCCCTGCCAGGAGGAAGGACTGTTTCTGGTTGTTTGCCTCTGCACTGGGAGCACTTGCAAAGACAACTGTGCTCTTCCCCGTGGCTGCTGCAGAAGCCAAAGGAATATGTTGCATTTCATTCCAGCCAGCTCCCCATATGATTAGAAATGGAGAAATGGGACTCTGTGGAGGAACTGGGACAGACAGGTAGACTTGGGTCAGATGAGATCAAGGGTTCAGCGAGCTGCTTGCCAAAATTCCTGTGTGAGCAGGAGTCACGAGTCCCATCTGCCTCTCAGAGCATCCTCTGAGGAGGTGGCCTGGCCACCTGGGCAGAAGGGACCAGGAAACACTGCGTGGACCAGGGGCGGAGAGGAAGGAGGGAGGTGGGCTGGGGAGCCTTGGAGTTGCACAAGGAGTTGGTCATTGTAAGTTCAACAGCTGGCCTGGTAGGACATAAGGAAATAAAAACGTATCCATTGTTTTTTTCCTCTTTGCTTCTCAGTTTGACAGGCTGCCAGGGATCCCATGTGGCGATCGTCGCTCTCCTCCCATTTACACAATTCCTCGGGGTGGGAGCAATGGGAGTGTCCCAGCACCAGTGTGCACACTCCTGCTTCTCTTTCTAGACCAGCCTGGCACCAGTGCTGCAGGGTGTCCTCATCCCTCAGGGAAAGGTGGCCTTGCTCTCCCGGGGTTTGTGTCCTTAACTTTGGGGCCCCTTTCTGCTCACAGGACATGGTTCCTGCAGAAGGTAGCTGGTGTGGGGATTACCTGCATTGATGGCAGCTTTGTCAGGGACTGCATTTCTGTAGGAAAGGAGGGATTCTGGAAAGAAAATCATTCCATTCTGTCCCTTCCCTCCCTGGTCACCGTTGTTTGCTGGCCATCAGGAAACATTTGCCTTGTGGTTTGAGGGCAGCTGCTCTCTGTGCCCAACTCTGGCTTCCTCAGCTTCCATTTTCCCCATCAGTAAAGTGAAACTAAAAGGTTTTTGTTACATCCTGGCAACCAAACAGCATCTGACCCGTCTGTAATGTCTGTCCAGCGATGGAGTTATTGAACTGACCGTGACAGCAGATCTATACAATTGGTTGTGGAAGCACTTAGTGCTCTGTAAGTGGGGTCTGGTTTGGGGTGGGGGTTTGTGCTGTGCCAGAGTGATCCCTGGTTAACAGGAGCTTTCCTGAGCGATGGGTGCTCAGGCTGCTGAAGGCTTTTCACTTAATAAACAGCAGCTGCTGATACCTGAGGAGCAACACAAAAGTGCTGATGGGGAGAAACAAACACTGGTATTGGTTCCTTCGCTAACTTCAACTTGAGATGTTGATCAATACAGTCAGAACTTGGACTGAGGAGCCTTGGTGGTGGAATTTTGTGAGTGGAGCTTGGGGTAACATCTGGCCAGAGGCTGGATCTCCACTAGCGGCCCCGCAGGTGCTGGGACAGTGGCCAGCAGTGCTCCCACAGCTCCTGCTGTAAAGGACGAGCAGAAGCCACATGGTCATGGATATCAATGCAAGAAGGAAATGCCTTTCATAAGACATTGATCATTTTAGCAGCCAGCAATACAAATAATAAAACATTTTCATAATGGAGCTGGACGATGGTGAGTTCTCACGTTCTTCAGCAGATGTGGATTCACACGGCAGATCCATCACAGACAGTCCAGGCAAAGTTCACAAGACAGAGAAAAACTCCTTGGCATCGCAGTTGATGCAATTTTTACGGATGTGTTGCACATCCTGTTGTTAAACCTCTTCCCAGGAGCTCATCAGTAAATGAGCTGCTCCGGGGAGCGGAGGGCGGCAGCCGCGGCGGGAGCAGGTGGGAGCAGGGAATGGTGTTGCATCATGTTGTTTTGGCAGCTCACCTGAAGGGCTTAGAGCTGTTCCGACCTCTGCAGCAAAAACAGGAGGGAAAATTATGAGGGAAATGAGCTGAAATTAGTGTGAACTGGCGGGAGCTCTGGAGTCATCAAGAGGTTGGGAATTCATCGCTGTTGTAACAGAAGTGATTATAGTAGAACCAGGGAAATTGCTCACAGACTTCAAAATCTCCTGTAACTTCTTGCAGCATCTCAGTTTTGATGATTTCAGCCTTGGGGATGAGCACAAGGGTTGACTGGTCCAGGCTCCAATTCCCCAGGACTTGCCTGAACTGGTGCCATTTATGATGTAAGACACCAAAGCTCCTAATTCCATTTGTACCCAAACCCATGCCCAGGAAAAAAATATCCCCCAAATCCTTCTTCCATGAGAAGGATAGTCCTTTTCCCCTTCTGTTTGCACCGTGGGGTCAGTGTAACCTCTCTCCAAGGCAGC